GACAGCCTCCAGGACATCCTGGCCTTGCTGTCAGAAGTCCTGGGTATGAGCTCTAGGTCTGCCTGTAACTGGCTCTGTGACCTTGGGCAAGTCACTTCACCCGAGCATGTCCTGGCCTCTCTATCAGTAAAGCGGGGTGATGGGATTGGGACTGGGGTTTCAGGATTCTAGTTAGGGTGGCTTTTCTCAGGCTGCCTAAAGGAAGCTACTTGTCCCAAAACTGAGATCCTCACTGGCTCCTTATCCCAGTGCAGAGTGTGTTTGTAGGGAAGCTTGGTTCATTTCTCACCCCATGAAGAATTTGAGGCAGTTGAATGTGGGGATGACTCAGCCATTCACTAGCCTAGATTCACAGTCATTCTAGTCCCATGTGACCCCAAACTGCAGGTCTGAGAACAGGTTCATTCTGCACGTTTACTCCCCATCATTTTCCTCTTCCCTCTGTTCTTGCTGTGGGGCCTTGGGGAACAAAGAACAGGGTCAGAGGCGAAGGAACTCAGTGCTTGCCCCAGGGCTGGTTCCCACAAATTCAGTCTCTCTCTGTTCATCTCTCTCCTGGAGGGCGTGCAGCGAAAGTTTGTTCTCAGTTTACTTTAGATGTATCCAAGGATAGCTTTAAGCAACACATTTGTATTCCTAACAGTGTTCCCACAAATTCAGCCTCTCACACTCATCTTTCTTCTGGAGGGCGTGCGGCGAAAGTTTGTTCTCAATTTACTTTAGATGTATCCCATGATAGTTTTAAGCAACACATTTGTATTCCTAACAGTGTTTGCCTCTGGTCACATAAAAAGGAGTCTGTGATCCTTGGGAGAGGGCCCAGTCTCTGTCTGTTCTTTTGCTGTTGAGAAACCCACCAAGTCATTGAGCCCGAGTGGATGGGTGTGAGTCAGCTCCCGTGCTAGCCTTGCTCACGTGTTATCAATGGTCAATGGTCGTACAAAGTATTTTCACATATTGTCTCTTTAAAACTTCAGAGTCCTGTGATGATGCTACCATTTCCCTAAATACAGATGTGGAAGTGGAGCTTCAGAGAAAGGCAGTGACTTGCCCAAGGCCAGGACCCAGCCTCAGGTCCTACGTTTCCAGTGGCTTTCAGAGAACCACGTGGGAGGCGGTGGCCAGGCCACCCTCCAGGAGAGGGAGGTCCAGATATGCTTTTAGTTCCCACTGGCCGAGACCTGTCGGGTGATGTGGCTTTGCCGAAACCCCAGGCCAGGAACTGGGCAGTGGGAAGACCTGAGAGAGGGTGGGAGCCAAACAGGAGCCGCCACCAGCTTGAAGGAGAGGGAGCTGGAGTTGTTGATGTTCCTGCAGCCCCTAGGAATCAGAGCTGTCTGCACGGAGCTCTCAAGCTGGGGACTCGGGCTGAGAGGTGGGAACAGGGAGGACTCTGCACAGGCAAAAACATTTTGTCCTTGAGCCTTCTCACTCTGCAAGACAGGAAATTCCTCAACTCTCTCGGGGCAGCAGACTTTCCTGGCCACTGCAACCCAATCAGAGAAATGAGATCTCTGCCTTTCCAATACTGGGGGCCCCGAGCCCACTCCCAGGACCTTCTGCCAAAGCCAAGGCTGACTGGCTGCCCCTCTGTCAAAGGAGGTGATGCCAGGAGCCGGGGAGCAGCGGGGGCCTGAAAGCCCATTCTCTGCTCATTCTCTCATGGGGTTACCTGTCTCAACTGCCCTTGCACTCCAGCTCCATGCCCTTCACACTGCACCTGCCTTGGGAGAAATTTTCCTCCAGCCTCCCGGCCTTCCCGGCCTCTCCCATCCTCATTCCCAGAGGCTGCACTGGGAGAGCTCTGCAGTGAGCCATATTTTATTTCCAGTGCCAACAGATAAAAATTCAGTGGCAAATTTGGAGTTAGGCCTGTCTCAGGTATGGAAAGCACCCAGGAAATGTATCCCCATGGCTACAAGCTTCCTGGAGAAGATCTGGTATTTGTTGCCTTGTGCTAATAAGAACCCAAAATACCAGAGTCCCTTTCCCCCAAAACGTGAAGTTCATAATTTTTATTTTTACTAATTTTTTTTTTTTTTTTTTTTGGTGAGGAAGATTAGCCTTGAGTTAACATCTGTCGCCAATCCTCCTCTTTTTGCTGAGGAAGACTGGCCCTGGGCTAACATCCCTGCCCATCTTCCTCCATTTTATATGGGACGCCGCCACAGCATGGCTTGACAAGCACTGTGTTGGTGCACGCCTGGGACCCGAACCCCAAGCTGCCACAGGGAGCGCGCACACTTAACGCCACCGGGTCGGCCCTCAAAACGTAGAGTTAAAGTTAGAGATATCATAGCCCTTTCCACCCCTGCCCCTGCCAAAAGACAGAAACTAAAAAAGCTAAAAAAGAATTATTGAAAGCCAAAGCCACATGGCTTGCAGGACAAAGGGCAAGATCAAGTCTGGGCAGCTGTGAGCTTGTCCTGTACCAGGCTGTCCTGTGTGGGAAATTGACACCGGCTCAGCCACTTTGCTGCCCCTTCTCCTTCGGCTCACCAGGCAGGTCAAAGCCCAGCTTGGGGAGAATTCTAAGAATAATGGATAGCCTATTTGTTAACTCGTGTCCCCAGAGAACCAAATGGGGGTGAGTGGGCTAGCCCTGAACCCAGAGAATTGTTCTAGTTTTTGTCTTTGACTCGCTGGTGAACTTGCTCCCTCTCTCAGAGAGAGAGATTTCCCCACCTAGTTTTCATTGAGGTAATATTGATGTACAATAAACTGCATATATTTATGGTGTTTAATTTGAAACCTTCACCCATGAAACCACCACAATTTTAAACAACGAACATCTCCATCACCCCCAAAGCCTTCCTTGTGCCCCTTTACAATCCATCCCCCCAACCCCTGCCCCAGGCAACCACTGATCTGCTTTCTGTCACTATCTTTTGCATTTTCTAGAACTTTATATAAATAGAATCATCCAGGATGTACTCTTTCTTTGTTGGGCTCTTTCATTCAATGCAGTTTTTGTGAGATCTGTCCCTGTTGTAGTGTCTATCATTAGTCCATTCATTTTTATTGCTGAGTGGTATTCCATTGTGTGTATATATTACAATTTTGTTATTCATTCACTTGTTGATGGACATTTGGGTTGTTTCTCATTTGGGGCCATTAGGAGTAAAGCTGCTGTGACTGTTTGTGTACCAGTCTTTGTATGGACATGTGCCTTCACCTCCCTTGTGTAAATACCCAGGAGCAGAATTATGGTAAATGTATGTTTCACTTTTTAAGAAACTGCCAAACTATACTATTTTACACCCCCACCAGCAGTGTATGAGAGTTCCAGTTGCTCCGCATCCTTGCCAGCACCAGTGCTTGGGATGGTCAGTCTTTTTAATTTTGGTTATTTTAATCAGTATGGTGTCTTTAGCTTTCTCGAGGTGCTTAAAGTCTCATGAGACAGCACTGGAGCATCATGCCATCATAGAAGACAATGAGGAAGCTCTTCAGTTCTGTTTTATGAGAGACATTAGATATATTGTTAAATGAAAAAGTAAGATGCCAATCATTGTGTATACTATGCTATCTTTTTTTTTAAAAAAAGAAGAAAATAAAAGAGTAGGCCTGTTTGCTTGTGTGTTAGACCATCTCTGGCAAGATGAACAAGAAACTGAAAATTGGTTGCCTCTGGGGAGGGACGCTTGTGGCCCGAGGACAGGGGTGGAAGGGCGACTTGACACATACTCTTTGGTACCTTTTGAATTTTGTGCCATGTGAGGATATCACTTATTCAAAAGAGTAAATAAAACTTAAGAAAAAAGTCTGATAAGATGCCAAGTATTGGCTTCCCCAACTCGAAGTTCTCCTGAGGAACCAGAGTCTAGATTGGGCATGGCCCTAATGAGGCCTTGTTCTTTCCCTGCTCTCTACCAAGAGCACTGTCATGCCCAGGATCAAAATGAACAGGCAACACACCAGCTGGGAAAAAATATTTGCAAACCATATATCTGACAGGGGATTAATCTCCATAATATATAAAGAACTCATGCAACTGAACAACAAAAAAAAAACAACCCGATCAGAAAGTGGGCAGAGGAAATGAACAGGCACTTCTCCAAAGAAGATATACAGATGGCCAATAGGCACATGAAAAAATGCTCAACATCACTAATCATCAGGGAAATGCAAATCAAAACCACACTAAGATATCATCTTACACCCGTCAGAATGGCTATAATCACCAAGACAAAATACAACAAATGCTGGAGAGGCTGTGAAGAAATGGGAACCCTAATCCACTGCTGGTGGGAATGCAAACTGGCACAGCCTCTGTGGAAAATAGTATGGAGATTCCTCAAAAAATTAAAAATAGAAATACCTTATGATCCAGCTATCCCACTACTGGGAATCTACCCAACATACCTGAAATCAACAATCCAAACATAGGCTTATGCACCCCTATGTTCATCGCAGCATTATTCACTATAGCCAGGACATGGAAGCAACCCAGTGTCCCTCGACTGATGATTGGATAAAGAAGATGTGGTATGTACATACCATGGAATACTACTCAGCCATAAAAAAAGACAAAATCGTCCCATTTGCAACAACATGGATGGACCTGGAGGGAATTATGTTAAGTGAAACAAGCCAGACAGAGAAAGACAAGCACTGCATGATTTCACACCTATGTGGAAGATAAACCAACACACGGACAGATAGAACTGTTTGGTGGTTACCAGGGGCAAGGGGGGTGGCGGCTGGGCACAAGGGGTAGAGGGATGCATTTATAGGGTGACTGGACAAAAAATAATATACGACAAAAATTTCACAATGAAAAATAAATAAATAAATAAAAAGAGCACTGTCATGCCAAGCAGAGAATTGGGCACGCCTCGTTCCCAGTGATCCCCAGGGCCTCCCCAAATGCCTTATCTGTTAGCAGTCAGTTTCTGGTGGGAACCTGAGCCTCAACACAGTCATGTGCTGAGTGGTCATTTAATCTGTGTTTGTCGAATGAATGAACATTCACCCATTTTCTGTTATCTGCCACACAGAAAAGAAGACAGGAAGTGACAGGAAGAGTGAGTACCTCCTGCCCGCGGCTCCTGGCAAGTCCGTCGCGCCCCTGTTCCTGCAGGGCCTCTCTGACCTCAAAGTCATGGATGGAAGCCAGGTCACCATGACAGTCCAGGTGTCAGGTCTGTCTCTGCGTCTCTTTCCTCGGGGTGTATGTGAAAGGGGGCACAGTGGCAACATGGGTGTTGCTCCCCGATGTCCCACTCAGATCATTGATCCACCAGAAAATTAACATGGGATTGTCAGTCAGTGGACCCTAAGAAGTGGAGCCTCTTGGTCTCTCTTTTCTGCTTTCTCTGGATTCAGGGTTGATTGATCCAGGGGAAGAAGATGGCCACGGCTAGAAGGGTGAGGGATTAATGTGAAAACATGGTGCGGCCAGTGTAGCTGGAAGATTTTGAACACTGGCACAAAACCAGATGATGTGAGAACTTCCCAACTCTGGGAAGATATTCTCAGTTTCTCTATTCAAATTTTAAGGTGAGAAGATGGAGCAGAGGTCCTTCTAAAACAGGTGTGGGGTGACGAGAGCATGTGATTAGCAGTGTGAGATGTCACAGCCCTTGCTAGGGGCCAGTGAGAGAAGCCTGGGGAGGCTCCTGGCGCAGACTTACTGACAGGAGCTCATGCTGGTGCCTGGGGGCATCCAGAGTTCCCCTTCATTGCGTAAATGGTTGCTGGCTGCTGATCAGTCCCTCTGACAGCCGGGAGATCACTCTCCTGCCTTTTTAGTTCCTCTGGAGCTGCAGAAGCAGTCAAGATGAGCTGTGAGAGAACCTGTGGGCTCGCCCTGTTAGGGGTCCTTGGATGAACTCCCTGCTCCTGCAGGCTGGAGGCAGTCCCATGACAGTCCCAGGTGGAGGGCTGTGTCCCCTCCCCTGTCCACACTCTTTGAGTTGACAGAAATCAGAGGTGCTCTGCGCCTGGCCCACAGACATGTGCTCGCTAACCCATTGGAGACAGATGGTGGCCTCCCCTCTCCTTGGGCCTCTCCAGAGCCTGACGCCACGCAGCCTCCCTCAGCAGCCATTCTGGGGGCCTTGCTCCTCCGGAAGCAGAGCATGATGGCTCAGCTCGTACCTCAGAGGAAACACTCACAGGTGGCCCTATTTTATGCCCTAACAAGTTACTAGAAAGTACCCAGGAAAGTAGCCTAGTACAAACTGAGCATGCTGTCTGCCGTGAGCCGCGTTGGGGAATCCTGGGCCAGCGGGTGCCCGCTGGACAGCATTTGTGTAGTAGCAAAATGAAATGCCGACTGAGCTTTCCCTCCAGTGAAAATTGACAAGGGAGTCGCCGTGAGGTTTCCATCGCGTTGCCTGGCCGCGCACGCACTGTTTGAGGCAGAGCAGGATGGGCAACACGTTCATTTTGAACCCAGTGATCCAGTTACCACTCAGTATTATCAAGCAGTTTGAATTCTAATTTTAAAAGCCATTCTTCCTGACTTTTCTTTTTCATCTCTGAAATCATATTTTTTCACTTCTGGATTCTTTCTAGTTTCCCCAAATCTGTTGTTAAATAATTATAATGAGCATGCATTGACTACTTTCTTTGTGCCAGATGCTATTCTAATCTGCTATCCTAGCAGGCTTCTAAGGGGGGCTGTATTGACTTATTTAATCCTCCCAACAAACTTATGAGGTGGGTGCTGTTAGAATAGTTTATGGAAGCGAAAGTGAAGCGGAGAGAACTCAGCAGAGTATCTAATACAATATCACGGTTAAGTTCAGAGCTGCCACATGGCCCAGGGAAGCACCTCCCTGACCAGTCCCCCTGCCCTTCCTCCTTGTTCAGGGAACCCGCCCCCTGAGGTCATCTGGCTTCACAACGGGAATGAGATCCAGGAGTCGGAGGACTTCCACTTTGAACAGAGAGGCACCCAGCACAGCCTTTGTATCCAGGAGGTGTTCCCGGAGGACACGGGCACTTACATCTGCGAGGCCTGGAATAGCGCCGGAGAGGTCCGCACCCAGGCCGTGCTCACAGTGCAAGGTGAGGCTGACCAGCTGCCCAGCTCCGGGGGGAGGTGCTGCCGTGGTCTCTCCAAAAGTGATTTCGAGATGAGGAAACCGCGTGCACCTGCTTTGTTCCCACTGTGGACCCCGTGCTCCCTGGGTCCCATCCCAGCCCCAGAGGCCAGCTCCCCACCCTACATCTCAGGCTCTGGCTGAGTAGGGCCACCCTTCCCTGCCTTCTGAAGTCTCTGTCCTCTCTGTGTTACCGGTGACAAGCTGCATAGAGTGCTAGGAGAGAAATCTTGTAATACGCTTAACGATTTGGTAATGACAGCTTTTGAGGTGAGTTATGGGCCTATTGGTGTCCTTACCTTTAGAGAATCTATATTTAAGAGGAGAGACAAGTTAAGCACACATAAAGCAGGTGACAACTCTTAATCATACCCATCTGATGTAGATCATTAGTGCCCCTGTACCCTCTAGGCTATCTCCCCTTGCTGTGAATATACAAATGCATGTTAATATTATCCTCTGAGAATGTAACCAAGACAGATTTACCATGAGAAGGATGTGCTGTATCTGTATATCCAATAAAAGTGATTTCTGGACAAGCTGTTATTTGGATAATGCGCTGTCTTTGACCTTCACTGCCATGGCGAGTTGAGTGGACGCTGTCTGCTGAAAAGCCTCCCTCTCTAACTCAACCCTTTGCCAACTTCCAGAGCCTCAGGATGGCACCCAGCCCTGGTTCATCAGCAAGCCTCGCTCGGTGACAGCCTCCCTGGGCCAGAGCGTCCTCATCTCCTGTGCCATAGCTGGTGACCCCTTCCCCACCGTGCACTGGCTCCGAGATGGCAAAGCCCTCTCCAAAGATACTGGCCACTTCGAGGTGCTACAGAATGAGGACGTGTTCACCCTGGTTCTAAAGAACGTGCAGCCCTGGCACGCCGGCCAGTATGAGATCCTGCTTAAGTGAGTTTGCATGTCCTGCCAACCTCCTATCACCCCCAGCCCCAAATTCCTGCCTCCTGTCAAAGTCCCCATCTGGGACTGGGAAATCAGAGGAAGCACAAATACCTTGAGGCTTGGGCTTCAAGGTAAAGGAAATGCTGGGCTGGGGCTGCTGACAAGCTTTCGTTTCTCCTACTTCAGTCCAACAGACGTCCATTGAGAGCCTTCCCTTCTGAGCTCAGTTCCCCGGAGTCCTCTGTCTGATTGTATCCTGGCTTTTGTTCCTCCATTATTTGATGTATGGAAAATATGAAGGAGGGAAGAATGGATTAGAATTGGAAAAGCAAGAGGATAGAGGGAATGCATTAGTTATCTATTGCTGTGTAACAAATTACCCCAAAACTTAGCAACAGTTATCATCTCACAGTTTCTATAGGTTGGGAATTTAAGCAGCTTAGCCGGGTGAATTTTGGTTCTGGGTATTACATAAGGTTGCATTGAAGATGTCAGCAGGGGCTGCAGTCTCTGAAGGTTTGACTGAGGCTGGAGGATCCCTTTCTAAGATGGCTCACTCGCAGGGCTGTTGGCAGGAGGCCTCAGCTCCTTGCCATGTGGACCTCTGCACAGAGCTGCTTGAGTGTCTTTAAGACATGGCAGCCGGTTTCCCTAGAGCTAGTGATCCAAGAGAGAGAACAAGTTGGAACCTGCAGTGTCTTTTACCACCTGCCCTTGGAAGTCAGGCACCATTACTTCTGCCATATTCTATTTGTTAGAGTGAGTGACTAAGTACAGCCCATACTCAAGGGGAGGAGAATTAAGTTCCACTTCTTGGAGAGAGGAGCATCAAAGAATTTGTAGACATTTAAAAACCACTCAGGGAAGTTAACTATCCCCATTCCTTTTTTCCTCCCTTTCAAGGTCTTGCTAGATTTCACAGGAAGCTAAGCTCCACGAAGGCACACTGCTGTGCCTAGAACAGTGTCTGGCCCATAGTCACCATGTGGTAACTATTTGTTAAATGAATGTGATCCAGAAATGTTCTTCTACCTTTAAAATGCTCTAACTCTTAAAATTCCATGCCAACCCTGGGTTGATGGAGACAGAATGCTAGACCCTAAGGTTGGCATTGAAGAAGAAGACTTGTCTGCACCTTGACCCTGCAAATAGGAGGTTGTGCCACATCCCAAAGATGGTTGGACCTGCCCTGGCTCGGGTGCCTGGCCACTTTGTAAGGAGCTTGCTCTCTTGGATAAATCATTTCCCCATACTGAGCCCATCATGTTCAAGCCTCTGAGCTACAGACAGGCTCTGTAGCTACCTGCTAAGGCTACTGCCATGATGGAGCATTGTCCCTTCAGTAATCGCAAAATCAATATATGTCCACCCACTTGGGTGTTTTCTGGCATGTGCTTTATACTTGCATCAGGTAGCTTTTGCTGCATAACAAACCACCCCCAGTACTTAGTGGCTTTAAAAAAATAGCCATTATTTTTTCCTAGGCATCTGTGGATCTGCTAGAAAGTTCTGCTGAGCTGGACAAGGCTCAACGAATCTCAGCTGAGCTAATGACACATCTGTGGTCAGCCAATGATATGATTGGGGGCTGGCTGGTCATCCTGATGGCTACCATCAGCAGTGTGTGCAGAATGCACCAACGGCCTTGTGCCGAACCAGTTATTATCAGGAAGGCAAATCTGCCTCCAATATAGAGAGAAGATATACTCTTCCTCCCCTGGGCCAGTACAAGCAGTGGAAACTGATTATAGGTGAGAACAGAGCTTGTCTGCATGGAGGGACTGGTGCTTGAGACACCACTCACGTTAGTGAAGCTGCACATGCTAGAAGAGATGAGCTTGCTGTGGGATTTTGAGGAAAACAGGCTGAGGCTTGGCAAATGAGTAGAGGCTTGGCTGTCAAGGGCATGTTGTAGGATAGGCTGAGCAAGAAAGGGTCGGGAAGAGCAGAGCAAGAGCTATGGGAAGCCCGCCAGGCCAGAGTGGAGGCTTGCACTGGAAGGTCGGCAGGCAGGCTGTCTGGGCCCAGCTGGGGACAGTCATAAAACTTAGACTGTCCCAGCTGGAAGGGACTTCAGAAGTGATCTAGCCACCTCTTTATTTAATAATGGGGGAAACTGAGGTCTCGGGGTCACGGGCTTGCTCATGGCCCCTCAAAGGCCAGTAGCAGAGCCCAGATGGGAGCCCTCGTCTCTGTCTTTAAATCAGATGCCTTCCATTCCGTGTTCCTCCCCAGTGCGCTGGGACCTTGGGGAACCTGGGAAGTCGCACTGGAGTCCCCACCCCCGCAGCCCTTGCCCCTCCTCCCTCTCCAAAGTCCAGCCTCTTCATTCCTTGGGGAGCCTGGTGCCCTGGCCTTGGCTTTGTCCCCAGCTGAGAAGGAACAAGTCAGTGGAAAGTTCTCCTGAGGAGTGTGTGCCAGGCCTGCCAGGAGCCTCGCTTCCCCTGACAGAAATCTGTCACCCGGACAGAAATCAGACCCGGACCCAAGACAGAATGCCTTTCAAGGAGGAAGACTGGACAGTTGGGAGGAAGCAGGGTGGGTGGGCAGGGGAGGGGCGGGTTCTATCTGTCCCTGCTGAAGTTGTGGGGTGGGTATGGGGGGTGGGGGGGTGGTTCTACCTCCTCTTCCCTTCTTAGCTCTTGTCTCCTAAACTAAAAGGGGAAATGTCAGAAAGTCAGCTCCAAATTCCAGTTGAAATATTTAAAAGATTGATACTTGCCAGGAAATTAGTTCTTTAAACTCATATTGCATATAGAATCCATTCCTGAGGTGGATGATCCAGAGTGGGATAGAGGACAAGGCTTTGTAACCAAAGAGTGGGCTTCTTATTCAGGGCTTGGGAGGGGAGGGCAAAAAAGATTCTTAGTTTGTAGCTTACGGGGTGATAGTCCTGTATCCTCTGTGGCAGCACCTGGGCTGGGCGTGGGGGTGGGGGCCTCATCCTCCGGCCCAGGCCTGACTTTGTAACTAGTATGTGCAGGCACCAAAGATGGCCCCAAGAGGCTGTTCCAGCTGCTTATATCATCTGATGTGTGGGTCCCAGGCAACAAGCCTCTCTGACGTTGTAGGCTCGGAATAAACCCATGATTTGCCTTAAAGGCCCAGCAGAGATTTAAGTTTATGGCTGTAGAAATAGTGATGCCCAGATCATCCCAAATGATGATCCATTTAGTGGGCCAGCCATGGTATCCCAAGTTCTCCACCTTCTGTCTGCTCCATCAGACTTGCCCGGGGGCCTCTGGGTGAGGCCTGGAAGTGGGTTGACCCAGAGGCCACCTGTGTTTCCCTCCTTGAGGGCAGGTAACAGAAAACAGCAGAAGCCCTTACCTGCTTGCCCCGCGGGGAGATAGAGCTCCCTCCAGCTTAGGGGACGGCACGCCCCTCCGTTTAAAGTCTCTGAGGGTTTGGCTGGGGGAAAGCAGGGCCATCTGGTCAGTGTCTGCTCCTGACTTTTGCATCTGGGCTGTGTTCTACTTGTGACAGGAGGAAACTCAGCTGAGGAGATGTGGAAAAGGGCTACCGGGAAAACAAGGCCCTTGGGCACCGTGTCCTCTTGCTCCAGCCAGCCCCGGGCAATACACCCTGGCCTTGAAAGAAAAGGGGGACAAGAATGGCCTAATACTGACCAGTAGCATGGCAGAAGTGGGGTGCCAGGGGGCTAGGTCACCCCCAAATGACCTCTCTTGGTTATTCTATGAGTTGACCCAAGCCCCATCAGCCTTCTGAGTGTTGAGTGCTCCAGGTACTCTGAGAGCCTCTCAGCCTTCCCAGGGCCTGGCACTAAGGAGGCGGCTAATTGCTGTTTGATGAGCAAAGGAGCACCCTGGGCCCTCAAAGTCTCCAGACATGAGGCTGCCTGAACCTTGAATCTGCGCCCCCTGAGAGCCTGAGCATTGAGGAAGGTGGCCAGGAGGGGCCCCAACAGATGAGAGGAGGGTTGGAGGGCAGCAAGATCAACCTCTCCTTGCTCCAAATGGGTCTCAGTGCCCAGGAGTGAGCAGCAACCCCCAGGGCCCCGAGAATCATCTGCCATGCCGCGGGCTGCCAGTGTCTGACCTGGAGCTGGCCCTCCATTGGGAGGGAGGCCAGGCAAAGTGAGGTGGAGAACCGCATGCATTGGCAATGCTTCATGAACACATGACCAGCTGTCTGTCCACTTGGGGACAACTCGTGCATGTGCATATGTTCCCAAACACGGACCTGCAGCTACAGGTGCCCGCCAAGTAGACCCCATTGTGTGTATCCATGAGTGTGCTTGACATACATATACACATGTAGACACGTGCACACACACACGCACACACATATCCCAGAATAGATTTGTACTCATGAGCACTGTAGGGCGGGGTGGGAATGTTACAGGTCTTGGATTCAGGTAGACCCAGGTCCCAACTCCTTTCCCTGCTAGTTAGTTCTGAGTTTAGGCAAATTAACCTTTAAAAGCCTCATTTTTCTTACCTATAAAAATGGTGCTGACCCCCACCTCACAGAGCTGTCGTAAGATTAAGTGAGATGGATTGTACAAGGAACCTGACGCAGAGCTCAGCACACCTGCGGTAGGATCTGAAGCACACGTCGGCCCCTGGAGTGCTAGTGAGGGGCCATGTTCAGGGGAATGAGTGGGAGACCCCGAGAGTCCCTGCACTGCCTCACAGAAACTCCTGAGCTCATTTCCTTACCTTTAACATGGGCGTGATAGTGCTCTCTACCTCACTGGGGTGTTGTGGGGACAGGAAAGATAATGGATGTGGAAGATAATGGATGTGGATGCCTCTGGCTCTCAGACCTGCCCCACCCCTTCCCCCTGTTCTGAGCAGAACCTTCTTGGCTGGTCAGAGCTCAGAAACGCCAGCAGATGGCAGCCTTGTGGGGCCGGAGGGCTGATCTGCTGTAAGCGCCTCAGTACTTGAGCGTGGTGCAGCCCCTCTCCTGAGCAGAGGGGCCTCGGCTGGTCGCGCACCACGGGGAGAGTGAACAGTTTAATAGTGAGTTGAAGCATCCCAAGACCCCCCCACCTGAAGAGAAACGGCCACCCATGGAGGGAGACACCTGTTAGGGATTTAATGCAGAAAGTTCTAATCTAAGGGCATTGGCCTGTGGGTAGGGATTGGAGGATGTTCTCATTTCAAGAGCAGGGGAAGGGTAAGTGGCAGTTGTGGGGACATTGTGAGGAGAGGCAAGTAACCACCTCAGCGTAAGGGAGCATGATGGAGTCAGACTCAAGGTCACTGGGCAGGCTGACGAGGGCCGCACAGTCTAGATGGAGCAACTCCATCACAGCCCCCCGCAGGTTTCGTCTTCACTCTTCTTTGAGTGAGTGAGTGAGTGATTGTATTATTTTTGCAATATACTTTAGAAAAGTATTCCTACTTCTGGATGCCTATCTTAGCCATTGTTCAGAAGATTCTTCTTTTTTTCCTTTTTAAACAAGAGCTGGGAAAAGAAAGGGTGGCCAAAGGGGAGGAGGGCCCAGCCCTAGATCTAGGTCTGGTGTGGGCGTGTTGGGGTCACAGCTAAGCTTGTGGCCAAGCTCCTGCTTGCCCTGCCCTCCTTACACCCTAGGCTGAGCAGACCCTTGATCTGTACTGATCCCTTGAATTCTCCAGGAACCGGGTTGGCGAATGCACTTGCCAGGTGTCACTCATGCTCCAGAGCAGCCCTGCCAGAGCCCCACCGCGGTGAGTGCCCCCCAGAGTTGCGGGCCAGGCCCAATGCCACCACCCACCTTCGTCCTGGCCCCTGCAGGCCCAGCCAGCAGCCCTAGATTGTTTGTATCCGCCAACCGAGGCTGCCTGAGCCAAGAGGGAGAGATTGGAAGGGGAATGAGGGAGGGAGAGCAGGGGAGGAGAGGGGGGAATTTTTTTTTTGCACACACCCTTATAAGGCTACTGAAGTCATTACCAATGTAATAACCCAACTAAGCAAGCAAGCGCCTCTCTCCAATGTTCCCTTCTATAAACACAGCCCGGCCAGCCCCCACAGCCCCTTCCCCTCCCCTCCACCCTCCCTCCCTCAGGGATTTGCTCTCCCCTGCCGGCTCTTTCTTACCCAGCCCCTCTTCCTCCTGCTACTTTCCTTTTTCCCTTCACTGGTTGCAGGGGGAGGGAGCCTGCCAGCTGTGAGGGCCTCTGCGGCCGAGGAGCTGGTGCTGATGGTGGTGGCAGAGACTGCTATGGGATCCTGAGGCCCGGCTGGCCAGCAAGAGGGCAGAGTTGGCCCGAGGAGGAAGACGGTGAGGACGTGCGGGGGGTGCTGAAGAGGCGCGTGGAAACACGGCAGCACACCGAGGAGGCGATCCGCCAGCAGGAGGTGGAGCAGCTGGACTTCCGTGACCTCCTGGGGAAGAAGGTGAGTACCAAGACCTTGTCGGAAGAAGACCTGAAGGAGATCCCAGCTGAGCAGATGGATTTCCGCGCCAACCTGCAGCGGCAAGTGAAGCCAAAGACTGTGTCGGAGGAAGAGAGGAAGGTACATAGCCCCCAGCAGGTTGACTTCCGTTCTGTCCTGGCCAAGAAGGGGACTCCCAAGACCCCAATGCCTGAGAAGGTACCCCCACCAAAACCTGCCACCCCAGATTTTCGCTCAGTGCTGGGCAGCAAGAAAAAATTACCAGCAGAGAATAGTAGCAACAATGCTGAGGCCTTGAATGCCAAGGCAGCAGAAAGTCCCAAGCCCGTGGGCAATGCCCAGCCTTCAGGGTCCCTGAAACCCATGGGCAACGCCAAGCCTGCTGAGACCCCAAAACCCATGGGCAATGCCAAGCCAGCCGAGACGCTGAAACCCATGGGCAATGCCAAGCCTGCTGAGACCCTGAAACCCGTGGGCAATGCCAACCCAGCCGAGACCCTGAAACCCATGGGCAATGCGAAGCCAGCTGAGACCCTGAAACCCGTGGGCATTGCCAAGCTAGCCGAGACCCCAAAACCTATGGGCATCGCCAAGCCTGCCGAGACCCTGAAACCCTTAAGCAATGTTAAGCCTGCCGAGACCCTGAAACCCTTGAGCAACATTAAGCCTGCTGAGACCCTGAAACCTGTGGGTAACTCCAAGCCTGCTGAGACCCCGAAACCCGTGGGCAATGCCAAGCCAGCTGAGACCCCAAAACCCTTGGGCAACGTTAAGCCTGCTGAGACCCTGAAACCTGTGGGCAATGCCAAGCCAGCTGAGACTCCGAAACCTGTGGGCAACGCCAAGCCAGCTGAGACCCCGAAACCTGTGGGCAACACCAAGCCAGCGGAGACCCTGAAACCCGTGGGCAACACCAAGCTAGCCGAGACCCCAAAACCCATGGTCATCACCAAGCCGGCTGAGACCCTGAAACCATCTGGGAAAGAAGAACTCAAGGAGGTTAAAAATGACGTGAACTGCAAGAGGGAGCATGCAGGGGTCACAGATAATGAAAAAAGGGCAGAGAGCCGAGGGACAGTGCCAACCTTCAAGGAGAAGCTACAAGACGTCCATGTGGTTGAGGGCGAGAAGCTGCTACTCCAGTGCCAGGTGTCCTCTGAACCCCCGGCCACCATCACCTGGACGCTGAATGGAAAGACACTCAAGACCACCAAGTTCATCATCCTCTCCCAAGAAGGTAACAAGGGCGGGGGCCGGGGAAGATGGGGGCTCTCTACCAGGGCCACTGTCAGCTCAGGGAGCCTTGGGCTTATTCATCACCACTCGTAGCCCAGAGCCTGGGTTGGAATGCCCGGCCTCTGTGCCCCCCTCACTCACAGGACAGGTGCCCCTGGACACACGCTCCATTACTGGGGGATGACCGGTGGAAGTCTGGTCCTGTGGCACATGCCCAGGTCTCGGCATCTGTCTGGCAGAGCCCCCTCCCCCACCCCCAGGCAGCTCCTCGGAGCAGACCTGGGCCTGAGCTGATGCCCCACAGCTCTGGCATGGAGAGGGCTCTGTTCACAGGCTTGGAAGTGGGGGTACAGGAGGCTGGAGCTGGCCAGCGGCTCTGGGCTGAGAGCTGCTTTGCAGCTCTTAGGTTTGGGAAGGGTGTGCAGTGACGAGATGGCACAGGACTAGGATTTGGGGTCAACAACAATTTACGTCTTTATAACATTGTGGGTTTGAAGGGACCGGGGGAGGAAGCCGAAAACCCCCACCAGCCCCTACAGCACACACTCTCGGCAGACAGAGCCGCTCGCTTCCTAATTTGGATGAGACTTTTGTTTGCTGGTATTTCACATTCTTGGGTGGTGGGGAGAAGGGGGGGGGGGGCTAAATCCTGCCATCTGGGGCCTTTCAGGGTCTGGAGTTCTCAGATGGGCCAGTTTATATCTAGAGAAGAGAAGGGAGTGAGAGAGGTTTTTCCCCTGGAGCCTCAAATTGGTTTGAAATGTTTTTGTAAATCCCAAACCTGGATGGGAGCTCTGAGGCCGGCAGACTTCCCACACCCCGCTCTGGTGGCCGGCACTAGAATAGAGTCCAGCCTGAGCTTGAGGGTGATGTTGGTGCCTCTGGACAGGACAGGGTGCAGTGCTCCCCGCGAAGTGGCATTTTACCCTTGAGGGGTAGAGAGCTGGCCTCAACAGAGGCCTGAGTGGACAGGTCCTGTCAGATCCAGATCAGCTGAGATGTCAGGAACACTCCCCTCTCTGTGCTGCTCTCCCTCTGTCCTCTGACTGCAGCCCTCTGCACTCCCTTCCTCACCACTTGTCTGGCATCCTTCCTCCCTCTTAAAATCCCTAAGGAAGCATTTGAAGATAGCAGTATCCCTCTCAGCTCACAGAGAAGTGTCTGTCTTCACTCTGCATCTCAGACAGCAAACCTGGAACAACTGAGCGTTTTGAATCTAAATGCTGAAGGAGTGAAGGGGAAGTTGGCCAGGAGAGAGAAAAATGTTATGTTTTCTGCTAATGTGTTGACATGATAACTTTTTCATGTGGGTATCCCCAGATTGGTAGGGTCCTGCCCACGTCATCTCTTCCATCCCCCTGCCTCTGCTAGTTCAGCCTGCCTGTGGGCCACACACAGGTGGGCATGGGGGATGACCACAGTGGGGTTGGATGTCCTGGGGAGTAGATGCCATAGCCTTCCTTGTCACCCCCGTGGGCCCCTCCCAGTTGGAAAGCCTTTGATGAAAGTGATCTGAAACCTTGACCAAGAGCCTTGACCCAAGTTACCCCATGGTGATCTCCCAGGGAAGGATGGAGGAGGGGCAGCCACCATCCTTAGGACTTGTGCAGTCACACAAACCTGCACAGTGTGAGGTCCATGACTGCACCAGCCTCAGGGAATCTGGTGTTCAGATAGCTGAGGGCAGTGTCCAACTTCATGAAGGTGCTCTGGGACCTGCTTGGAACCTGCAGAGCCACCAACAGCTGCTTATAGACAATCCTCTCAACTAAGCAATGTAGGCAGACCTCAGCACTGGTCTCAATGACACACCTCAGCCGTTAAACACTGGCTGGTCCTGCCCGGAGGGCATTCAGTCTATTGTATCTGCTGGTCATTGAGTGTTAAATGGCATAGAGACCTGACTATTCCAGCATCACATCCCACAAGAAACCATCTCAAATGGACAGTTTAGGTCCAAAGCAGAGAAAGGAGAAATGACTAAAAAGAAAGCCAACACAAGGAGAGGACAGAGACACCACTGGAAGGGGGCTGAGAGGGGATTGTGGAGACAGCTCTAAATCAAACTTTTAAAAATATTCCAAATATTTCTAATTCTCCTTTGAAAAGTAAGAACAGCTCATATCTACTGAACACTGTGTGCCAGACACTGTCCTAGGCGTCTTACACTTCTCACTCATTTAATCCTCACAATTACTATACTGCCCGTCTAACAGAGAAGTTAAGTACTTTGCTCAAGGTTGCACAGCCAGTTAGTAACAGAGCTGGGATTCGAATGCAGGCAGTTGAGTTCTGGTGCCTAGACTACTATGCTGTGTTGCCTCTTAGTTAATTCTCCTTAGTAGGTCAGCATGCTGTGTGCGGTATGTTAGCATACAGGCGCAGCTGAGAAGAACACCAAGAACATTGTCTATCAACGGACAAGCTAATGGCTCTTTACTCCTTAACACTCTTGACAGTTGTCAAGAGACTGGAAGACCCGTGGTGTCCTCTGGGCTAGCCAAGTTTCTGGTATTTTCACTGAAGTGGAGGAAGCAGAGCTTGAAATGAGTCGTCCACCTTGCCACAGTGGGGAGAGTGCCTTGTCTCAAAATACCAGCCCTGCTTTCTGTCCACCATCTCTTCTCTAGAGCCTCACTCTACTAGTCTTCAAGAGCCTGGGTTGAACAGGACCCCAGGAGAAAGCCTATCTTAAAGGCTTATCAGTGAGCACTTCAGCAGGCCCCCTGCGGGGAGTAGGGCACTCTGAAATGTGTAAGTGGATCTGCTCTCAATAGACCTGGAAAGAGAGGACACACACTCACAGTGATAAAACTATACCAGCCAAGTGCCGGTGATGAGCTGCTGAGAACAGGAGGAGAGGGAGCTGAGTGCCAGGGCCACAGGGAAAGGCTGGTGGTGAAAGACCTGGGCCTTGATCTGAACCTTGAAGACAGGCCAGCACCCCCAGCAGGGAGGAGGGAAGGTGTGGGCTTCCCAGGCGGGGACACAGCAGCAGCAAAGGCAGGCCTGCTCACAGCATGGTCTGCGCTGGAGAGGAAGACATGGCCCCGTTCCATCCTATGTCATGCTAAGGAACTCAATTCTAATGGCAATAGGGAGCCATGTACACAAAGCTGGGGTGTAGGAGGTTTGATTGACTCCACGCCCAAAGATAAGTAAGGAGCCTACTGAAGAGGTCAGAGAGAAAGGTGGTGAGGCCTGGACTGACAAGGTAGCCATGGGCACAGACCGGAAATAACCAGTTCAAGAAGCAAGGACAGAATTACCAGAACCTGTTGCCTGGCTTGGAAAGGTGGAGGTGGGGGATAAAGAAGAGGAAGGGGTGGAAGACCACTGAGTGTTGGTGTCTGGGTGACTGGGGTCATAGTGATGGCATCTGGGGAAATAAGGAGGCTGGTAGTTTGAGGTGGTTGTAGGGGAAGATGGAAGAGGAGGCTAAGCGGGTCTCCCCCTCCTTCACACCCCACTCAGCATCCTCTCCGCCTCACCTCCCTGACTTGACCCCCTTCTTGCTCCACCGCACTGAACCCTGTGCTGTTATCTCATCTGAGATCAAGATTCACTTCCTCCCGGACTCCTTCCCAAACCGTTGTCACCAGCCTTTGGCCATGAGAGACTCTTGTGCTCCCCTCCCCCAAGCGACGTGTATATCTGTACACCTACTGCTAGTGGAAGCTCTGTTTATAGGTTTCAAGGGGGCTTCTCTGAACCCCAGAGCTTGGATAGGGCTCGTAGCCTGCAGGCCCCCTGAAACATGATTATGTCCACCCCCTTTAGCGCTGAGGAGAGCAGAAGAGGTGTGATGGCAGTCCGGTGGGGTTGAACTGTTAATTCTTAGAGGGCTGTGGAGCTGTCCTTCCTGGTCCTGCATCCCCCAGAGCTGCAGGGCGGATGGTGTTCATTCACTTACCATGGCTGGGCCTGCCCTCCAGGCCTCAGGGGGCTGCACCAGGCCCCTTCTGGAGCCACAGCAGAGCTGCACCAGGCCCCTTCTGGAGCCACAGCAGAGCTCCTCAGGCCTTGGCGAAGGAATTGGGAAGCCAATGGCCAGTAGGCCAGGGGGAGCTCTGTGCTGCTCTTGAGAAGTGCTTTCATCTTCTGCCTTGTGTCCTGTCCCCCCACCAGGCTCCTCTCCCTGGCACACATTTCTCCCAATCTAATAATCAGAGTTCATTGTTGCTGTTGTCAACCGATGATTCATTTTTAATTGCCTTTAGTGTGGGATCTTGCAAAGGCTTTTTCAAAACCTGTGTAAGTTCATCCTACAAAACATAAGGGTTTATGTAGCACCTACTCTGTGCAAGGCAGTCTTTTAGCCCCTTTCCCTGTATGCATAATCCACTTGAAGAACTCTGAGTTAGGAATTTTTTTCCTTTTAGAAACTATATTATCTTTTCCAATGGTAGGTTATATTTAATTAAATGTTCATGACTTTCTCTTGCATAGATCCTACCAGATCACCTGCTACAGAAATGCGCCTTGGTCATTCTTGGAATAGCAAATATTTTTTTAACTGTGACTGCATTCCAAGCTCAGGAAAAACATTCATAATAGAGCCGGTCACTGCCCTCCGAGAGCTAATGTGGGAGACAGGCATGTGTTTCAGCAATGGCCTTGGGAGACATGCTCTGATAAAGGTGAACTCAGGGCACAGAAGAGGTCCGTCTACGGCTGGGGGTGCTTAGAGGTGACATGGAAGGCACCATCCCTGAGGAAGTGACCTGGAGCTGAGTCACCCTGTCCAGACATGCCAGGGGGACCAGGTCAGGGAGACACCACTGACTGAGGGCGGCCTCAGGGCTTCAGACCACTCCCTCCACCATGCACATCCCTGTCCTCCCCTCTCCTCACACACTTGGAAAAGGAGCAAGATGAGGGATCTTCAAACTGCATGGCCATGAGGGGCACTCCCAGGGACAGTTCTAGCTGAGCCATTCATTGGATTCCTGGTTCTGTGGTGACTGCTCCCATCCCCCTCATCTTCCTCTCAAAATTCCCCACCAGGCTGAGGCTTCTCAAAAAAAAGCTCTGGGAAACGGTTTTTCTTCTGGAGGTCAGGAATAAGCTGTCCCACAGGAAATACCAGATTCTTCAATCTGGGCTAGTGGAGCCTCCGAGCCTGCCTGGGGGCCCTCCCCCAGCCCACGCACGTGGCCAGGGGTCCAGGCCTTGGGCAGCTTGACAAAGCTGCCTGCTCCGATGCTTTCTCCTAGTGAAGGGACAGGGGCCGTAGTCTAAACACTCCCCTTCTCCTGGTGGTCTCACTGCCATCTGTGCAGTTTATGCCATTTAGGTTTAAGGCTGTAGGCAGCTGAAACTGAAAGACTATCAGATTCCAACAGGATGTCCAGTGGGAGTGGGGTATCTGCTCCCAGAGCCTCAGCCCCAAACTGAGGGAAAATGGCAAGTTGGAGTCCATTTCCTCTAAGTCTTGGGTTTGGGAGCCAGAGGTCATCTTAGCATCCTCCTGCCCTCTCGAATGAATGGAAATTTCTCTCTCTAGAAGATAGTTACCCTCATCCCCTCATTCCCATGCCTCACGGTTCTCACTCTCCTGACAGGCTTCCTAAAAATCCAGCGTAAATCCTTTCTGTTGGAATTTCTGCCAGTCTGCCTCCTAACAGCAGTGGGAAGAGATCCTGACCCACTGCCCTCCCCTGTGGGAGAACGTAGTGAGGCCTTTCCCCAGAGGTAGGGTCTGTAAGAGAGTGGGTTGGGGGAGTGGGGGTGCAGAGGAGCCATCCTGCCTTAGGTGGTCAATGGGACTGAGGCTTCCCTGTTTAAGACATTGCCCAGGTGCCAAGAAGTAAAGGGTACTGTTAGGCCTCTGCTTTCTCTTCCAGCCTTCATGAGGTTCTCTGGGCAGAACTGACATCACCCTTCCTCTCTCTAAATATCCTTGTATTTGTTGGTCAAGTCTGTGTCTGTCTAATGGGGTGAGGGTACTTTTTGAGATCAAAGGCCTTTTGGGAGCAGTGCCTGTTGGCCTCCTTTCTGGCCATGCTGCCCCACACATACACCCCAGGGATGCACACAGCTCTGGCTTATGCTGGGCAGTGGGGTGGGATTGGGCGGTGGGGGAGTCAGTGGCTCCAGGTAGCAGGATGCACGCGGCTCTGGATCTGTCCTCCTCCTTGTGTGATGGCTGCTGCCCTGACAACAGGGGCAGCCTGGGCAGGACGCCATGCTGTTGGCTTGTTTGTGTGTCTAAAGGCAGGAACTAGGCTACTGCTGCCCTCCTGCCTGGCCGAGCAGACCCGGTCCTTAGCGGGCCTCTCCCAGCCCCAAAGTGCTCCTCTCCAAGCCCAGTGCCCCTCGTTGGCCATGATTCTCAGCTTAGATACCTTTCCTGAAAAGCCGGCTCCGGGGTCCAGGCTATAGTCACCTTCTCCTCCTAACAGATCTTCCCGCAGGCCAATGTCCCTGCTGGCCAGGGACTCCTGCCCTCGCCACCCACCTCTTTGTTCAAAACTCCGTTTTCTAAGATGCATTCCCAGAATCATTGCTGTAAGCTGGGTGGAGCCTCCTCACCGGCCATTGTTCCTAACACAGCTCTGTAAACCTGTGTCTGACCGCCACTTATCTCTCTTGGCCAAGTCCCAATGTGCAGGGCCTGTGCACCCCCTCCTTCCAGTGTATTAGATGCTCTCCAAAAGCAGAGACTATTTCTCTCTCTTCTTCCATAACTTTCCATTATGTCCCCGTAAGAGAACTCTCTGGAAGCGGGGAGAGGGTACCAGGAGGGAGTATATTTAGGGATCAGTTATTTTGGACCTGGGTTATCAGCAAAAAGTGCCTTGGCTTTGATGGGGAGAAGGGGTTGGTTCCCACAGGGCCTCTAACTTCTGGGCTCCCAGAGGCGCCCATGTGAGTAACACTTGCCTGCCATGCTCCAGGTGCCAGGGCAGGTGTGGGCTCACACCTGGTCCACTCAACAGCTCTTCCTCGGTGGCCCGCCCAGTGTTGCAAGCAGTTAAGTGCACACGCTCCGCCTCCACGGCCCAGGGTTTGCGGGTTCGGATCCCAGGCACACACCAACGCACTGCTTGTCACACCGTGCTGTAGTGGCGTCCCATACAAAGTAGAGGAAGATGGGCACGGATGTTAGCCCAGGGCCAGTTTTCCTTGGCAAAAAAAGAGGAGGATCAGCATCAGATGTTAGCTCAGGGCTGATCTTCCTCACAAAAAATAATAAAATAAAATAAATTTTTAAAAAAATTAAAAAAAAAAAAACAGCTCTTCCTCTTTCTCACCCAGGCTCACTGTGCTCCCTCTCCATCGAGAAGGCGCTGCCCGAAGACAGAGGCTTATACAAGTGTGTAGCCAAGAATGGCGCCGGCCAGGCTGAGTGCTCCTGCCAAGTCACCGTGGACGGTAGGTCATGCCCACCCATCGCCACCACACACACGGTCCCACTTCTCAGCCCTTCCTCTGCCCACTATACCTGAACAGAAGTGCACCCAGGCCTGCCATCCCTACCCAAGACATTCGTTTTGTACATGTCAAGCCACCTTTTGCAAAAAACAAGACTGGAAGGAAAGTGGGAACTCTACTTGATGGCCCTATGTGGCCTCGCGGCCCTGCCCCCAGCTGGGAGGAGGGGCTGCTCGCTTGTTGTCCCTCCCCAGTCCTGACCCGCACATACAGAACCTTGCTGTGCAGGGAAGCGGAGTGCAGGACAGGAGGAGAAAAGGCACACCCACAGGAAAATGACTACAGAGTATTTTACAAGCCTCAGCCAACAAGTGTCACTGCTGGCGGGACAGACTCGTGAGGAGAAGTGAGCAGAGTGGGGTCCATGTGGGGAGACTTCCTCGAGGAGGTGAGTTGGGACTGAGTCTTCGGGTAGAGGGGACAGGCCCGCCTCTGCAAGAAGAAAAAAGTACTCATTATACAGCAGAGGGAGAGGAAGAGAAGTGGGAACACAGAGGCCTGCCAGATCTGAGTAGAGTTTCCGTGTAAGGAAGGGGAAGACCACGCTGTGAGGAATTGGGATTTGTCCTGCAGAAGCACAGGGAGTGTATTTGTGACCCTTCTTTCCTCTCTGTGCAGTTTAGACTTAGAGACTCGGAAGTAGAACAAACCTTGTGATGGTTTAGGCTACCACCCTGATTTTACAGCATAGAAAACTGAGGCCATTCGGAGAGGGAAAGCTTCCTGCTTGAGGTTCCCTGGTCCATTTAGGGCCAAGCTAGGGCCAGAATCCCGTCTTGGGACTCACAATCCAGTGCCCTTTCTTATTATTTCATTACTTGCCTGGAACTATCTGAAAAGGTATTTTGCGGAAAACAGTTTCTTGCCCTTGAAATGCCTGCTTAGTAACTATTAGTGACACATTAAAAACTAGTGTCCAAATAAGGCATCTCGAAGACCAGCTTTGTTGTTCTTCTAACTCCTGAACGTGGTCACTTGGGTTCTGAAATCCTACCTGTTTTCACTGCCTTTCCATGAGATGTAGAATCTTTGTCCCCACTCTGGATTTTATAATCTGATTTCCTGATCGTAAAAGCTGAGATCTGTGATACACAATGAATGGGAGAAAAGAGAAGAGAGTCTTATAAAGGAAAGTCTTTTTAAAAAAACATACACAAAGGCAACACGAATTGTCAGTAGCCAACAGTAAAGCTGAAATTGTAGACTATTGTGTGTATTTCCCTGGGGTTCTGTGAATGTATTTGTCACAGAGGCTCTCAGTCTAAAGGAGCAGACGTGTTGGGTCAAAGTGTGTGGTCTGTTCAGAGGGGGGCTTGAAATGCATGTTCTGAGGCTCTGTCTGGGTAGGGGTGCTGCTGCTCCTTACTCCTGTGTGTGACCTGGGCTGTCACCCACTGAGGTCAGAGTCCTGCTTCTTAAAAAATAGCATTTCTGGGAACTTGACCCCAGAAGCCTATTGCTAACAGACCACATTTGGGACCCGTGCTGGTTCCAGCCGATCTATAAGGAAGCCCAGCCTGCTAATGAGGGTATCTGCTTTTGCAATCCTTGGCCTCCTTGAGACCCTATTTACATGGCTAGCTGAAGGCAGGACAGCAATTCATTCTCCCTATCTGCAAAATGTCAGCACCTTTTCGAGAAACAGCAAATGGTTTATTTTTAAAACTAAACTTTGTTTTCAAAATAAAATTTCCTTTTTCCCTACAGAATACATTTGAGTATTTTTTCTGAAGGTTTGGGGAGTTCATTCTGCATCTTATGAGGCTTTTTTGCCCCTAGGTTGTCTCCTTCTAGTAGATTCCCTTGCTCTCTCCACTAATCTTCATGACCATCATTATTTATCTAGTTCCTTAAAAGGGGCCTCTGGCTGCAGATTGGGAGCTGGGTCTTAGGAGAAGAGCTAGAAAACGGATCCGAGGGAGACCAGCTGAGATAACAGGACTGACTCTCAGTTAATTGGGTTTGTTTTGTTTTGTTTTTTCAAAGAGACAAAGGGCACCCCCCCACACCCACTCTTTTCCCTGTTGCTATACTTGGAGTATGTTAGTGTCCTGCATGCGGGTGGCCTTCTTGCTACATTTAGCTTTATTTTTCCATCAAGAGCCACTCTAGGTAAATAGTAAAGGACTGCAGTCTCCTTAACTGCTCCCTGCCACCCTGCAGCACCTTCTCCCTCCTGTACTCCGCTCCGCTGAATAGGTTTCATCTCCTCCTTCTGTCCCCTGAGCCTCTCAGGTCTCCCCACCCCCCAAGGCAATAGTACCTAGCTTAGAGATCCTAATGGGTCCATGCAGCCTTTGAAATTATAGCAAAATTTTGTGTGTTTGGAAAGGCAGTGAAAACAGGTAGGATTTTAGAACCCAAGTGATCATGTTCAGGAGTCAGAAAAACAACAAAGCTGGTCTTTGAGATGCCTTCAGATCAGAGCATTTTTCTAAAGAGAGGATCCATAGTTTTTAATAAAATTCTCAAAAGAAGTCATGAATTAAAATACATTGAAGAACTTGCCCTAAAAAGTAACCATGACTGAATTTTCAAGCCCAGTCATCGTGTGGGGTCTTCTGATCTCTCTCCATCTGCAGCTGCCTGCTCGACCTCTGCATAGGACCAGTCCTGCATCCCTCCCGAGGGGCATTGAGGTCCCTCTCCAATGGGGACGGCGTGGGGAGGACCACAACTGATGCAGACGTCAGGCTGGCCTTGCCCCATGACAGTCACTGGCTGTCACTCACACAGCCTGTGCTAAACACTATTAAGACTATATGTCTATGGTCAATATAAGGATATATTTCAAGACCTCATAAAAATTACTTTGGCTCATTGGCTGTTCTGTATTAGCCACACTACTCTTTCTCTCTTATAGTAAAGACAAAGGGAGGTAGTCTTTAGAATACAGCACATCTGGCTATTTGAATCATGCTGTTTGGGTCTTTTCCCTAAGAAAAAGAGTGCTTTTGTACACTTTCTTGATTATGGTCAAACCATAATCCTTCCAAGTATAGCAGAAGGCAACTGAAGCCTACAGTGGGTCAGGACTTGCCAGAAAACTCACCCAGGAGGAGAAAAAGCTGACTTGCAATCCTGCCGTGGCCAGAGACTCTTGTGCATTTTTAGTTTACGCAACAGTTGGGCTAGGTATCTTTCTCAATGGTAAAATCGAGGCTCAGCGAGGGTCAACAGCCTTCCCAGGTCACGCAGTCAGTATGCTGGAGATGCAGTGTCTCTGGGCATCTCTGATCCCAAAACCCACGCCCTTGAGCCACCCTACACAGGGACTTACAACTTGAATTACCCTGGCAGGACTGGAACCTGAGTGTGTCTGGTTCTGAAGCCTGCACCTTCCCATGACCTGGTGTGGCCTCCCTGTCTAGGGAATAACATGGCAGCATCCACTCTCGAGAGACCCAAGTGTCCCTTAGTAACAGCCCTTCCTGCTGAGAAGTCCTTCTACACATCTGGCCTGAGTGACTCTTTCCCACTCATTCAGACCCAGTGAGAGGTGAGGAAACAAAGCCCTTTGAAGGTCAAAATCCCAAGACGGGGCAGCTTATACCGCCCTTCCCCAGCCGCCCTGCCCTGCCCAAGGGCATCTGGCCTCAGTGCCCAGTGAGATCAAGCGCTTTGTGAGCATGGAGGGTCGTGCAGTGTGGTAGGAGGTGACGTTCCAGAGGGCACCCACGCCATCATTCATTCAACAGATACGTTAGTGCCCGCTCTGTGCCCGGCGCTGCTCCATGGGCTGGGGTTAAAAGCAGTGAACAGAACAGAAGAAGCTCCTGTTCTTAGAGAATTTACATTCTAGTGAGGGAGGCTGTGATACAGATGAACAGACTTGTCACATAATCTCAGGCAGTGTCACGTGCTCCAAAGAAAGCAAAGCAGGGTGTGGGGGAGGGAATGCTGTCATTGGAGGGGAGTGGTTGTGACGCCTCTCTGAGGAAGTGACATCTGAACAGAGGCCTGAAGGAATTGAGGAGTCCCAGAAGTCAGAAGGACGAGGTAAGGCGAGAGCAAAGCCCTGAGGTGAGGCTGTGCCTGAGGCCTTCCCAGAAGTAAGGAAGCCAGGGTGGCCGACAGCGAGCCGGGGGCAGAGTGGTAGGAAAAGAGGTGGAGGAGGACTAGTGACCAGATGGGCAAGGCCATGTAGGCTGTGACAAGGAACCGGATTTTATTCTAAGTGTGATGGGACAACACTGGACATTGTAAAGGGTCACTCAGTTGACTCTGTGGTAACCAGACCCAGGAGGGGTAAGAGGGAGAGCAGGGAGACCAGATAGGAGGTTGCTGCAACAGACCAGGCAGGAGAAAATGGAAGAGGTGGGAAATAATCAGATTCATAATCTATTTTGACAGTAGAGCTGATAGGATTTGCTGATGAATTGGAAAGGCAGAAAGAGAAAGGAGGTCAAAGGTGATTCTTAGTTTTCGTGGGGAGAGGAGATCAATGGTGGTACCACCTACTGAGATCAGAATGCAGGGGGTGAGGGAACAATCGAGAGTTTCGTGCATGTGAAGTTTCAGATGTCCATTAGACATCCAGTGGGCGTTTCACATAGGCATTTAGATGAATCTGGAGTGGAGGAAAGAGGTCAGGGTTGGAGGCAGGATACAGGGAGCCATCCACATATGAGGTCATTGAATGCCCTGGTATTGAATGGAGTCCCTAGGGGTAACTGTGGATGAAGGAGGGAAGGAGGCAGAGTCCAACATTGAGAAGTAGGTCAGGCCAGACATCTACAAAGGAGACTGAGAAGGAATGGCCACAGTGAGACGGGAAGAAATCCAGGAGAGCGGGGTGTCCCAGAAGCCAAATGGTGATCATTTCAGTAAGAAAAGAACGATGGAGATCAATGCGTCAAATGTTGCTGCCACGTAGAATAAGATGAGCCTGAGCATTGGGCACTGGGCTGTTGAGTTTGCCAACTCAGAGATGATTTATAACCATGACAAAGGGGTTGAGGAAGTGACAGTAAAAGAGACTGGGTGGCCTGCTGAAGGCCATGCAGCTAATACCTGGCTGCGTGGGAATTGAAACCCAAGCCTTGGCTCCTAACCACTGTGGTCCATTGCCACCATGGCCATTGGGCTCCTCTGATTGTGGCTGAGCTGATTTCAACCCACTCTTCTCTTGTTGGCCTCAGTCCTGCCATATTCATAAGTCTGCTCCCACTTTCATGTTTGTTCTTTATATCATCACAAACAGCTAACGTGTATTAGTTTGAACTAAATAAAATTGCTGTTTTTGTAGGTCAAAAACACTTGAATATTGGCGAATGGTATGTTTCAACCTGAAACAAACATAAAAGCACTTAGCATCGCCAGGGACTGAGTACCCGATACATGCCAGCTGTTACTTTCCGTCTCATTCACGCCTCTGTTGGAGTGTTATTATTCTCATTTTCCTGGTGAAGACGGTCAGGCTCAGAAAAGTTCAGGAACTTGCCCAAGGACTCACAGGCACCAAACAGCAGAGCCAGAAAGGAGTTGTTTCCTGACTCGAGCTCTCTCTCTCCTGACTATGCCAGCATGCTGCTTGCTCTCAGACAGAGAGAGAGGCCAGCCCCTCTGCCCTGCCCGCTCTTGGGGCTCCTAGAGGCTCAGACCCCCTCCCAGAAGCCTCCTAAGACCTCCTTCCCCCTGCCTAGGTTAGAGTCAGGGAACCAACCTCCTGGGGAGACAGAAGGAAAAATGCTGCCCCGGAGGGCTGAGTCCAGAGTTAGCCCAGGAGGGAAGGGGTAAGGGGTTGTCCATATAAGGACACGTTTTCCTCTCTCTGCAGAGCCCCCCACCTCCTCACACTGCCATCATCCGCCTCCATGCTTCTTTGGGGGCACAACCAGGCCAGCAAAGGACTCCAGCCCTGGGGCCCAGATCTAGAAATGGAGTTGAATTTCATCACAAACTGATTAAAATAGACAGAAAAGACAAGCTGCTCTTAAACTTTTATTACTATTATTTTTATCCCTGGGCAGCATGTGAGCACAAAGCTGGTTCTGATTAAGCACGTGGTCCTTGCCATGGTTCTCATGGAGGTCTAGTGGCTCGTGGTACATGCACAGCCCTGTGGGCAGAGGGGCTGCAGAGGGCAGGGGGGCTCAGTCCCGCCCTGTGGGGCTCCACATCTGGGGGGGCATGCCTAGCTTGAGAAGGAAACTTGAGCCCCTTTCCTCATGGCCCGATGGAAAGATAAGCTGCACAGAACTTCTAAAAACAAGGCTCAGAGCACATGACGGGTAGTGTACTCACACGCCAGTGTAGAGAGCTGAGGGCAAATGCAGAGGTGGGAAACATGTGGGTGGGGGCCGGTCAGGAGGGCTTTCTGAAGGGGGAGAGTTTTAAAGCAGATTTGCAAGGAGGCGAGGAAATGTGGTAAGCAGGAGGAATGAGTAGGTGAATGGTCACTTTTCTGCCCTCCAGAGCACTGCCGCATACATTCTCTCTCTTGAGCCTTGTTACACTGTGAGGCAGAGAAAATAAGTGTCATTGCCTTGCTGCAGATGTGGAAATAGACATCCAGGGCAGTTGACATTATTTGCCCACGATCCCAAGATTGCTGATGCCAAAGCCAAAAGTGGAACGCTGCTTTCTCGTCCCTATTCTAAGGAATAGGATGCTCTAAGGAAGAAAGCCCAGCACAGCCCCATGAGGAGAGACAGAATCCCAGTCCCTGTCTCCCTTCTTTCAGGAACCCAGGAAATCTGGGCCTCTCATCCTTTGCTTGCTCATGCCTCAGTTTACCCATCAGTTTAAAAAAAAAAACCCTAATCCTTGTTTATCTCCCTCTTCTGATGCCCTGGAACTCATTAGGAGAAAGAGAGCACTGAGGCCAAGGAACACAGAACTCTGTACATACTCTGCCCGCTCCTCCTCTTCCTTGGAAAGGGGGAAATAAACTTCTTGGTGCACCTTTCTTTAAATGGTCATCAGTGCCTGTCAGAAGTGCTGGTCTTGAAGGAAGGGAAGAAGAGAGGGCCTAGACAAGGGAACTGTAGACTTACCCCACACCCCGGTTTATGGCACCGTGATCCCCAAATGTCAAGGGAGGTGCTGACAGGTTTTCCTGTCTCTAGGAATAGTCCCTGAGACCCTCCCTGTGCCCAACTCCCACCTCTATACACACACACACACATTTGCACACGCACCTATATATACATACACACATGTACATACATACACACACGTGCACATATATACACACAAATACACATATACATACATGCACAAACACACACATACACACACACATACACACAGGCTGAGGAGAGAGACTAGGAGTTTTCAACCTGGCAATGTATTAGAATCATCTGTGGAGCTTCTGGGATCATATTGTTGCCCAGGCCCCAACCCAGAACAATTAAACCAGGCTCTGGGGAGTGAGATTCGCAGGTACAGGTGCTTCTAATGTGCAGCCCAGGCTGAGAACCACGGGGGCTGATAAATATGTACAGAGGATTTTTCTGTAGCTGAGAATAACCACTCTGCCTGAGGAAAATCCCCAGCGTGAGAAAATGAAATCATCCCCTCCCCATGGGACTTTCTGTTCCTCCATCCCTGTCCACGTGGAACCTCCACCCTCCCTCAGTGGGGTGACCCACTGAGGAGACAGGACACGGGCAGTGTCAGCTGTGGATGGTGGGGACCCCTGACTCACCGTTCGGGGCTCCTTTGATCTTTCAGGAGGTGACAGAAGGCTAACATGCAGTGGGGAATGGAGGCAGGGTAGGGCCAGGTTATCAAGTGCTGCTTACAAGGATTTCTTCCAGCTTTTTTCTCCCAGCCCCATCCTCCGTCACATACTGCTAGGAAGTTCTCCTTAAGGCCACACTTAATCATTCCTGTAGTTACACGTTTATAGCCTTTGGCTGACTCCGGAGGCCTGTGTGGCTCAGAGCTGCCGGTAAGCCCGGATGCACTAGGCCTCCATCCCTGGATCCCCCAGCTAACCGAGAGTGGGCATTAGATCGGGAAAGAAGCCTGGCTGGTGTGAAGGGATTTATACAGGCAGCTGCACAGTCTGGAGCAGGGAAGGGACCCAAATGCCTTCTAGAAGGGCAGTGCATCCAATGGGAGCACCAAGAGTCCACGTACCAGGGAGGTGTAGGTCCCCAGCCCCTAGTTGTGCTTCCATGCCCACCCCCAAAGCCCCAGGAGCCCAATCAAGGAGAGATCATGTGTTAGCAGCCAGAACAGCCCCATCCTGGAGGCGGGCACAGGGAGATGGCCTTTCCTCTCCAGCCAAGCCACAGGAATGTGGCCCAAGCCTCAGCTGGAAAGTCCCACCCCCTCCTCCTCCCTCTGAGCTTCCTCTCTTCCGGAGCAGGAAAAGGATGGACCGGAAGGGGCTCTGGGGGAGGCTCCCTTCAGCACAGTCCCTGAAGAGAAATCCTTGTGGGGAAAATGCTGGCGCATAGTGATAGCCCTTCAGCCAGCTGCTTCTTATCCGAGTCTCTGGGTGGTTTCCCCGCAACTTCCTCAAGTCCAGGCTCCTCGGGGCCCAGTGAGGGCCTTTTCTGCCCTGCCCAGCCCCACACCATGTTACCTTGCTGCTCCCACCAGGAAGTGTTTCCCCTGGCTTTATCCACACTTTGCATCAACGTGGAGGAGGGGGAGTGGAGGAGAGGACTGAGGAGCTGTGCACGCATCCGTGCAGCGTTTCAGTCCTTTCCAGGAGGCTGCTGCTGCAGGGTTCCACTGGGTCTGCTTTGGGGAGGGTACAGAAGCCCTGATCATGGGTCCAAGGCTCAGTCCAGAGTGGGTGAGGCATGCCGGCGGGCTGCTCAGACGCCTTAGTCTGGTCTGGAGGTCCGACTGTCAGTGCCCATCTGTAGAAGGAAGTCCGAGAACTCAGAGGCCGCAAGCCCCCCCCAGACCACGAGGCCAAGGGCAGGGACCTGTCTCCTCCTTCCTCTCTCTGAGAAACCCCTCTACACAGAGCAAGCTTTTGGAAATCTAGAATGTTTAGCCCAAGTGAGTCAAGACCCAGTGAAGGGAAGAGATGGGGGAGAGGTGAGCAGCGGGCCTCAGCTCTCCCCAGCCCTGCCAGTGATGCGATTTCTGTAGTGCGTGCCTGCTGCAGAGGGTACAGCGTTAACTGGCTCCCAGGACAGCCAGTCCATCCATCTTGCCAGGGCGACTGTGCTCTCTCCACCTGATTTATAAGGCCCCACGGAGCGGATGATCCTTCTTTGGTGCTCTTGTGGAGGATAGTGCCCTGTCCCAGGCACCGGCTGCTCAGTGGGCACTGGGGGCCTCCGGGTGGACCAGGGAGGGGGAGGGGCTGTAATTTTAGTGGGGGTGGGATTTTTATTGAGGTGCCTGCTTTGCTCATTTCCTTGGGCAGCTGCCCACTGATGTTTGTGGTTACCCGTTTTGTTCCAGATGCTCCCGCCAATGAGAATGCCAAGGCCCGGGAGGTGAAAGCCCGGAGGCCCAAGAGCTCTCTTCCTCCGGTGCTAGGAACAGAGAGTAAGTACCTGTTCAGTTCTGGGCAGCCCCAGGACCGAGGGCCAGTGTCGCAGGCCTCTGCTTCCTCAAAGTCTGGCCTGAGTCCCCTGTGAACTCCTGGTGACCAAGCCAGTGGCCTTTCGTGCCCCATCCCATCTCTCCCCAGCCTCTCCTCAGCCTGGTGGTGGTGCACATCCACGTCCACCCTCAACCTCACTCAGGCTCTTTCTACTTCTCGCCAGGAGCCGGGGAGAGCTTCTCCTGATCTGTCCCAGTTGAGTCTTTCCTGCCACGTAGACCTTTCTACACTGTGGCCCTGATCTTATCACTCCTGGGGGAGTGCCCAGCTGTCCCCAAGCCCACCAGTCCCATGCAAGTGAACTATCACACGTTGCTGCCCTGGCATACCTGCCACGCACATGCACACACGTTCTGACATTGGCTCAGCCTTTCTTTCCGAGAGCTGCCCCCCCACCTCTTTACTCCTATTTTATACTGAAGCCAAACCGAGCTCCTCAGTGTGCACTGGACGTCCCAGTGTTCCTTCCTTCATGTCCTTGCTCCCGCACCTCTCTCCATGGGACACCTCTCTCAAGGGACAGACTCCCACTGAAAAGCCACCTCATCCCTGACTTGTCCTTGCTCCAGCTGAAAGTAACTCTCCCCTCCTGGGAGCTCCCAGAGCACTCACACTTCCCTCTGCCATTGGCTGTCTTCTTCCAGTGTCATGGTGACGGGTCTGCCTCTCATCCTCCCTCCTCCATTGTAAGTTCCCTGAGGGCCGTGACTGGCCTACTCATGCAGGCACCTTTCAGGATGACAGTGCTGTGCCTTGCTCACAGAGGGCCCTTACCAGCATCTCTTAGAGTCAAGTTGCGGCTGTGGTATAAATAGCCAAGGAGGGAAGGAGCCACTATAACTCTACACAGCTGTCTCCTCTTTTTGGCTCTCCATTCCCCTAGGGCCCACTTACCTATTAGGCACAGTGCCCGGGGCCCACAATGCTTTTACAGGCCCGCAAAAATATTTTAATATCTTATAAAATTAGAAGAAAAAATAAACTTTTAGGTTAAAGAAAATGTTTTAATTCATAATGTTGACATATTTATCTTTATACCAATGCAGTTGTAAAATATAATTTATATATGTATGTATATATATTTTTTTCTTCTTTAATGGAGGAAAGGGCCCCTGAAGACAAAAGTGCCTGGAGTCCACAAAGGTCATAATGCAGCCCTGGCTTCCCCTACTGATTAATTATTGGTCTAATTTTGTTAAAACTATGCTTTGAAACCTTCAGTTTTAACAGAAGGTGTGAAATTGCTTAGACATCCCCAACACACTCTTTCTACGTTTTGAAAAAACAAAAGAGGGGCTCGCCCAGTGGCGTAGTGGTTAAGTTCTCATGCTCTGCTTCAGTGGCCTGGGATTTGCGGGTTTGGATCCTGGGCCCGGACCTACACACCACTCACCAAGCCATGCTGTGGCAGCATCCCACGTACAAAATAGAGGAAGATGGGCACAGAGGTTAGCTCAGTGACAGTCTTCCTCAAGCAAAAAGAGGAAGATTGGCAACAGATGTTAGCTCAGGGCCAATCTTCCTCACCAAAACAAAACACAAAAAAAAAAAACAAGGCAAACTCTTAATTATCCATGTTACCAGGGGAAAGTGTTTGAGCTTGACTAATTCAAAGGCTGTTTCTCTTTTTCCATTACAAGGCAGTGTTCTGTGACCTAGTCTTATTCTCATCTCTTCTTTTCAAAGCAACATATTTACCTTCCTAATGACGAGCTTGGGTTCCTTGTGCGTGAACCAGCCAGGCTGTCAGGGGATGCTCAGCCTTCAGTATGTTGGGGCAGCCAAGTTGGAATTATAATTTCTCATGGATGTTTAACAACAGTGGGAGCCTCAGATTATCAAGTGGACATTTAATAAGTTATTAGAAATGCATAAACAGTTCTAAGAAAAACCGAGTGAGAATGAGTTAATGATTTTATCTTCCAAAAGGATTTCTTGGGCCCATTATCTATTAGTTGAGAGAAAATGTAAGCAGAAGAGATGTGGGATCTTAGAAGAGCACCGAGTGCTTGTGAATTGGGGTCTGACCCGGTCATTCACCCCTCCTGAGGGCAGAAGTAGGAGAGCATGGAGTTGAACTGGGAGGTCAGCAGCCTCCTGTCCTCACCTCTGGTACATCCATTCCAGTGAGATCCTGAGCGAAGTGAGGTGGGCTCAGAAGAGAGCTGTGAAGGAGAAAAACAAGCTGGTGACAGTGAACACACCCAGGACCTGGGCTCTTTGCCCTGGAGAAGAGAAGCCTTTGGAAAACCCCAGTCAAGTTGTCATCATCCAATTCTAGGACAGGGGCTCTCAACCCTGGCTACATACTGGATCGACCTGGGGAGCTTTTAAAAACACTGCTGCCTGGGCTGTACCCCAGGCTAGTGAAATCAGAACCTTTGGGGGCAGGATCCAGGCTTCAGTATTGGTTAAAGCTCCTGGGCCATTCCAGTGTGCTGTCAGTCAGGCTGGAAACCAGCTGTTCCTGAGGGAAGCCTGGTGCCCCTGCACTGTTGGTCTTGAGAAGCAGAAGGGGGTCTCCTCTACTGCCTTCATTTAGCATGGAACTGCCTTGGGGCCCCTCATGCCCAGGTCCCCAGAGTATCTCCATCACACCTTTAGGGTGGGAGCAAGGTGCTCTGTGGCGTGGAGGCTGGAAGCCATGGTTCTTACCCCTGTAGAGGGAGTGAGGAATGGGGCTCAGTCAGCAGTGCTGCTTAGGGGGAAGGCGCAGGGCTGGAAGAAAGTGCTTCAGACATTATTTGTCTGCTGAAAGGGGATTTCACTCTGTGTAGAAAACCTTATTGGAGTTACAGATAGACATCTTACTCCCAAAGAAATGGAAGTGTGTGTCTCCATGCACAGTAATGGCTGTTTGGAATCCCTCTGCTGGCCCATCCACCCAGCCCTCTGTCACCCCAACCTGTTCCCCTGCTGGGGCACTAGGAGCATTAGCAGGATGGTTCTGGTGCCCCTCCACCTGCTTGCACACGTGTGCTCCTGTCCTTCAGAAACCTGCAGAGTTCCCTGGGTGCCTGCAGGACACCATAGGACACCTCCTTCCTTCCAAGGAGGCTCCTGAGAAGGCAGCTGCACAGAGACAGGAAATGAAGGGGATGTCTTTTAGGTCTGCACTCCCTGGTCTTTTCTCACTTTGGGGGATAATTTGTGTTATTTATTAATTACATAAGTTAAATATACATGCATTCTTGTTTAAACATTTTCAACAGTATAGAAGTACACCGAGTACAAAGTGAAAAGCCCTTTCATCTACCCCTGATTCCACTCACCTCCTTAAATCTATTCACAATTACTTTTTTCTGAGCATTCACATATACACCTGCAAATCCATCAGTTGGAATTTTTTTCCCACAGAAGTGGAATTATGCAGTCTCTACACCTCTGCCACTTGCCTTTTCCTCTTAGCCATCACCAGTCCCAGACATCTCTGATTCCGTGAGAAAGCCCAGACTCTTGTGTCCCTAAGTGGTCTGGCTGTGTATGCTTCATTTTTGTCAAGGGCTGGGGAGCGCCTGATCTAACCAGGAAATCCATCTTCAGGGGAAGGCCGAGTGGTTTCCTTGTCAGACAGATTGTGGCCAGATACCTCTCTGCATGCCCTCCCCTCCCGGGCTCAGATGTTCAGTCCTGTTAGGAAGCCATCAGGTGGGAGAGTGGACAGTGCTCATCTGCACAGTGGCCTGAGAGCCTGTAGGAACACTGCCACTGCTGAGCACTGAGGAGTATGAGGGAAAAGCCAAGTCAGTCTGCCCCGACCCATGGGGCAGGATGAGAGAAAACCAATAAAAGTGCAAGTTAACCTGCCAGACACCAGCTCACAAGTACAGGAGTGAAGAGGGGGTGGTTTGGGAAGATTTCAAGACAAAGGAAACTCTGAGCCAGGTTATGTGGGAGGAGAGGAATGTGGTTTGGTTGAGAAGGAATGATAACATTCCTCTTGTGAGGGAGACTGGAGCGAGAAACTGTGCAGATGCTGGAATGACTATTTTGAGGGCACCCGCCTCAGGGGAGCATCTGCTCGTCATACAGAACAAGAGTTGATTGAGCACCATACAGCAGGCATCCTCTTGGACACTCAATCTATGTTGCTTCAGGCCAGTCTTACTCAATGGAGCTACAGATAGTTGTTCTCATATACAGATGAGCAAAACTAAACCTTAGAGAACGAAATTGTCCTGCCCAGGGTCTCACAGCTAGTAAGATGTGGAACTGTGAGGGCAATCCTGATTTATGCTCCTGCCACACACCCCCACCGTGCCTTGCCATAGTCTCAGGGCCATACCTGTGCTGTCCACACAAGCCTGGGCAGCGCTTCCCCCAGCCTGCTAGTGGGGCAGAGGTCTGACTGCCAGTAGAGCTGGGGGGAGAGGGAGATGACAGCTGGCAGTCTCCCCTGGATCTTGAGACCTGTCAGGGTGTTTGCTGCAGGCCTCTCTATGGGAATTTTTTTATAACTTTATTTTGATATAATTTCAAATGTACAGAAAAGTTGTGAGAATAGTACAAGAAACTCTTGTATACCCTTTACTTAGATTCACCATTTGTTTACATTTTGTTCCATTGTTTTATCACTCTCTATGTATATACTCACATATATATTCACCATTCATATAGATATATATATATACCATTTATGAATAAATTAGAGACATCATGCCCTTTACCTCTAAATATCTCATTTTGTGTCTCCTAAGAACATAACCACAATGCAATTATTAAAATCAGGACATTTAACATTGAACCAATACTGCTATTTAATCCACAGTCTATATTCAATTTTTGTCAATTATCCCAATATCTTTTATGGCTGCTTTTCCCCCTCTGGATGTGAATTTAGTGTCAGCACTCCTGGAAAACTTTCTGCACGCCTCCAGCCCAGAGCTGGTCATCCCTTACCTCTGGAGAAAGAACAGGAGAGAAGGGCATGGGCCTGGGGGAG